TTTGATAAAATTCTTAGTAAGAATTCAATTATTTTTTTTTATAAATAATAAAGTTCTCTGAAGGAATTCAATTATTTCCATAATTAAATAATAACATTTTTTGGAAAAATTCTATTATTGATGCAAATAGCAAAATTCTTTGAAGAAATTAAAATATTTTTAATACAATTTTAAAAAATTCCTTATAATCTTAAATTATTTTCAAAAAGTTCAATAATATTCTTCACAAAAATTCAATTACTTAAAAAAAAATTCGTGTAAAATTCGTTGCAAGAATTCAATTATTTTCATAATAAAAAATTCTTCGCTGGATTTCAATTAATTTTAATACAATTTTAAATAGATTTCTCGATAAATGGAATTAGGTATGAAAAATTTTATTAAAATTCTTCAAAAGAATTTAAGGTTTTTCGAAAATTTTGATAAAATTCTTTATAAGAATGTAGTATTAAGAAACAATAAATTATTCTATTAATAATTTATTTTTGTATTTAAATAATTAAATTCTCGTGGAGATTTCTTATAAAAATTGATTTTAAAATGAATGTCAATTAAAATTTTTAGATAATAATTGAATAATTATATTCAAATAAAAATAAAAAATTTTAGAAGCGTTATAGCATAAATTTTTAGAAATAATTAAATTTCCAAAGATTTTTAAATTAAAATCTTTGAAAATTTCAATTGTTATAAAGCTGTAATAATATTTTAATGTTTATTTGAAGAATTTATTAACTTATTGGTTTTTAAAAAAATTATTAAAGTATCGAATAATTCTATTTGAAAATTGAAAAAAAATAATTGAATTTCGGTAGAATTACAATTAGAAATAGTTAAATTTCAAAATGGTTTTTCATTGAAACAATTAAAAATTTTTATTTATGTGGAAAAAATAATTTTGAATAATGATCAAAATATTTATTTAACAAAAGGTATTCAAGTTTTGAAATAAATAATGAATTTATAATATAAAAGAAATGAAATAATAAATTTTATTTCATTATTTATAATGAAAAAGAATAAAAAGGAATCGTCTACTTTTCGTGTTTCAAATAACGATTAGGAAAATTTAATTTAAGATAAAATGTTTTATATAATTTTTTTTTAGTATTATCAATTTAGGACCAATTGCTCTCAATTGTGAAAAAGGAGAATAAAATTTTGTCTCGATATGGAAATTTTTGCAGAGTTTGCCAACCACTACTACTCGAGAAATTCTAACATAAGATTCCATATGTGGCAACGAATTCAGAGTGAATTGAATATTGCGACTTGTGCAATTTATTCAATAATATTTTTATACAAATGTCATTCCACTTAATTTATTTCGAATCGTGTTCTTTTAATACCGAAATTATAAAAATCAATGTCATTCCAAATTTAAGGGGAACAAAGAAACTAATTTCATTTAATTTCAGCAAAAGTCGAACCAAATATTAATTTTTCTTATTGAAAATATTTGTTTTCCTTTTATTGAAACATTTCAGTATTATTTTTTTTTTATTTATTTACTCTCTTTTTATCGAATGTTTACAAAATTAAAATGAAAGGAAAAATAATTTTTGAGTAAATTAATATATTTTATTTTAATAAATATATTTTCAGTAAATAATTTTTTTTCCCTTTTTTTATTAATTTTATTGCTTGAAAATAATATTTATAATAATTTGAACAAAAATTCTAATAATTTGACTAAGATTAAATAATAATTCTAACAATTTGGTTAATAAATAATAATTCTAATAATAATAAATTTTAATTCTAATTTATTTAACTGAATTTTTATTTCACCAAAAAGAAAAAAAATTAATATTTAGACCGATTTATGAAAAATTTCAAAAATAGAAGGAAATGAAAAATTGGTGGATTTTAAATATTACAACTATAAGGGATTAATTTCCTGTAAAATATATATATAATCTCGGGAGATGATCCTTTCGCATGTATTATAATTACATCCAATGTCACTTAACGTAGCGGATCGTTATATGCTAAAATGCAACCCTATATGTTAGTTTCCTGTGAATTAACAGCATCTATTGTATTACTTGTGGATTATCCAAGAGTCGAGATTCGACCCAAAAGCCGGTATACCCTATAAACTTGAATCTTGTGAAGCTACAGATTCCTCATGCACAAGGAAGATTCTTCGAACTAAGGGATCGACTGTAGTTGTTGAATCAGGATAGTTTGCAAACTTATTCGACGAAAACAACTAGTTTATAGAGCGTCTCTCTCACTCTCTTGCTCTCTTGCACTTGGAAAATCCCCCAAACGATATTTCAGATAATTAATATCGAATCTCTTGTAAATTCAATTTTTTCTCCAATAGAATTATTTTTTTCTTAATAATGTATTTTTTTGTAACGTAATTAAAAATCGAACGAAATTTATTTGATTCAAATAGGTAACTGAATTCTTGTTTATTGTCAAATAAATATTAATTACTTGAATCGAAAAATTTTTAATAAAAAGAAATAGTGTTAATTTTTTGTTTTTGAAAAATGTTGCGAAACTAGAATTTGATAATTACTATAAATTCACTTATTAAGGGCATAATTAATTATTATTGTTGTTTATTATTTTCAAAAATTTTAATAAAATTCTTCGCGGGAATTAATTATTTTTATAAATAATAACTTTCTTCGGAGGATTTAAATTATTTTTATAAATAGTAAAATTCTTTGCCAAATTCATATTTTCAATACAATACTTTACCAAAAATCGAAAATTTTTAAAATTTAACATTTCTAAAAATTTTAATAATATTCTTGACAAGAACTCAATTATTTTCAAAAATAAGATGATTCTTCGGAAGAATTTAATTATTTTTACAAATAATTAAATTCTTCAATACAATTTTAATAAAATTCGAGAATAAAATTTTTAATTATAATTATTAACAGACACGATTATATTAAATAGTTAAAAAAATCATTTTTTAGCACAATTATTTTAAAAATTTTCAATTAAAATTATTAAAAAACAGCATTATTTAAAAAACTTAAAGTAATTCCTTAAAAGCATTTAATTAAGATTTTCAAAGATTTCAATAAAATTTTTTGCTAGAATTCAATTATTTTCATAAATAATATTTTTCGGAAGAATTCAATTATTTTTTTAAATATAGTAAAATTCTTTGCAGGAATTGAAATATATTCAATAAAATTTTAATTTTAATTTTATTTTAAGAATCCAATTTTTTGAATAATTATTAACTGATACGATTATTTTAAATAAAAAAAATTCTTTGTTTAGTTCAATTATTTTCAAAAATTTGAATTAAAATTATTAAATAAACACGATTATTTTAAAAACTTAAAAGAAATTCTTTATAAAATTCAACTACATTTCAAAGTTTTAATGAAAGTTATTAAATAAAGTCAAATTATTTTTAAAAAATCCGAAGAAATTTTTTCAAAAGAAATTAATTAAGATTTTCAAAAATTTTAATAAAATTCTTGGCAAGAATTCAATTATTTTCATAAATGATAACATTCTCTGAAGGAATTCAATTATTTTCACAGATAATAAAATTCTTCGTAGAAATTCAATTGTTTTCAAAAATTTTAATAAATGTCTTCGCAAAAATTTAATTTTTTCAATACAATTTTTATAAAGTATCTTGTAAACAATTCCATTATTCTTGTAAATTGTAAAATATTTCGCAAGAATTAAATTATTTTTATAAAATAATAAAATTCTTCTCAGGAATTTAATTATTATTTTCAATATAACTTCTCCAGTAATTAGGATTTTCAAAAGTTTAATAAAATTCTTGTCAAGAATTCAATTATTTTCATAAATAATAACATTTTTTAATGGAAAATTCAATTATTTTCACAGATAATAAGAATTTTCGTAGAAATTCAAATGTTTTCAAAAATTTTAATAAAAATCTTCGCAAGAATTTAATTAATTTAAAAACAATTTTAATAAATTATCTTGAAACAATTCCATTATTCTTGTAAATTGTAAAATATTTCGCAAGAATTAAATTATTTTTATAAATAATAAAATTCTTCGCAGAAATTCCATTATTTTCAATATAATTTCTCCAGTAATTAGGATTTTCAAAAATTTAATAAAATTCTTGTCAAGAATTCAATTATTTTCCTAAATATTAAAATTCTTTGAAAAAATTGAATTATTTTCATAAATAATAACATTCTTCAAAAGAATTCAATTATTTTTAAAAATTTTAATAAATTATCTTGAAAACAATTCAATTATTTTTGTGAATTGTTAAATTCTTCGGATGAATTCAATTATTTTTATAAATAGTGACATTATTTACAGGAATTCAATTATTTTCCAAACAATTTAATAAAATTCTTCTGAAGAATTAAATTATTTTTTAAAATTTTAATAAATTATCTTGAAAACATTTCATTTATTTTAGTAAATTGTTAAATTCTTTGAAGGAATTCAATTATTTTCATTGATAATAAAATTCTCTGGAGGAATTCAATTATTTTCAAAACAATTTTTATAAACTTCTTAGAAGGAATTTAATTATCTTCAATATAATTTTAAATTTTCATTAAAATTTCTGTAATTAATTAGGATTTTGAAATATTTTAATAAATTTCCTGGCAAGAATTAAATTATTTTTATAAATATTAAAATTCTTTGCAAAAATTTAATTATTTTCATAAGTAATCAAATTCTTCGAAGGAATCCAATTATTTTCAATACATTAATTTTAAAATTGAAAACATTTAAAAAGAAAAACTATTAAAAACGTTAGGAATTAAAAACGGAAGCTACTCACTTCAAACTGCGAACAATTTATTAAAAGAATTATTAATATAAATAAATATTCGTATATTAATTGAGTTTTTATTTTGCAGGACACGAACATCATTAAAAAATTATTTTTCGAAGAATTAAAGAAGAAGGAAGCGAGAGGCATTAAATGAAAATCTGATGCTACTGTTAATTTGACAAAAGCGGAAATGTAAGGCGATATCGCGAAACTGCACGTTTTCATCTTCTATTCAACTTCTAATTCCATAAGAGCTTGCTTCAACGATGAAGAATCCATCAGAGTGTATTACTGTGGGATCAAGCGACGAGTTACAATGCCATACTGCCCACTTCAACACTGAATGCGCAAAATACTTTTCACCACATTCGCCAATGAGGATTTTCCCCGCCAACTTATCGTCACCCTAAGCCTCTTCATAAATGTACTTTTTTTTCCTTTCTTTTTTTTTATACACCAACCAACAATGTGACCCCATTTTCACCAACGAAACCGACATTTACATAATCGTCTCCAATTCAAAATGCTATGAAGAATAAAAAAAAATGGAAATTAGGTAAGTGTTTTACGAAAATTTTTCATCAAATCAAAAGAAAAGAGTTGAAATAAAAATAGTTTTTCTTTTTTTTTCAGAGAGTCCTTGGCGAAGAATGTAGGTTTATGGAATGACCTGGATCGCGTGAGTTTCCTGCACTTTTAAGAGAATGGAGAAAAAGAGAGAGAGAGAGAGAGAAAGAGATCTTTTTAAGGGACAATTTGAAGAGAAGAATTCGAGAGACTTTCGCTCGAAAACATTTTAATTCATTCTCAGTAAACATCGTCTCGAGAGTTGTAAGGATTCACGAGGCGCACCGGTGCAAATATGGAGTGCATGGGATTTCGGTCGCGGTGTACGACTTTCGATGTGGTGGCTGAGGCGAGAAGGGGTTTTACCGTTGAAAACGGAACCAACACAGGAAGCTCATTAAGTTACACCCCGGGGTCTCGACTCCTGTTTTGTTGCAGTTTGCTGCCCATTCTCAACACAAAATCGTGTGAGTATATATATACGACACACAATTTCACGATTCCCTCTCCTTCTCTTTTTCCATACGTCTATATATATTTCACGACTCTTTCAATCAAACAAACAACAATTATTCAATCCCCTTCGATTCACTTGTTTTCTAACATCAACGAACCAATGTGAGACAATGAAAATGCATTTCGACTCATAAATTCAAAAACTTTATTGTTTTTGCATTCCGCATTTCAAAGGATTTTCTTTTTCCCTTAATTTATAATTATTATTATTATTTATTGGCAAAAAAAATTTACTCGCGCCAGCGTAAAAAATGTATTTAAAACTGTATTTAACTTATAATTTTTATGAAAATTACAACATTTTTTACTTTCACATATTAACTTCAATTATTTTTCAGGAATTAAAAATTAAAAATTAAAAATTATTTATTATTTTTAAAAATTGTCATTAAATTCTCAGCAAGAAATAAATTATTTTCTTAAGTAGTAAAATTCTCAGCAAAAATTAATTTATTTTCTGAAGTAATAAAATTCTTCACAAGAACTTCAATTATTTTTTTGTAAATAATAAAATTGTTCACAAGAATTCAATTACTTTCAATAAAATTTAATTGAAAATAATCAAAACAATTTTAATAAACTTCTTCGCAAGAATTCAACTATTTTTAAAAATTTTAATAAATTATCTTGGAATCAATTCAACTATTTTTGTAAATTAGTAAATTCTTCGAAAGAATTCAATTATTTTCATAAATAATAACATTCTTCGGAAGAATTCAATTAAAGCGTTTTGTGCAGAAACAGCATAAGTCCATAATTCGAAATTGTTCAGGAATCAATAAAAACTGTTTTTATCGTAAATGTTAAGATTTTTTTTAATTCGGCTTTTTGCATTATATTCTACTAACCTATAAGTTAAAAAATGCAATATGATTAATTAATTATCTACTTAATATAAAAAATTAAAAAATATATTAACATTTGGACTTATGCTGTTTCTGCACAAAATGAAATGAAAAACACAGAAAATTTATTAAATCCAGTGAAATATCAAAGTTTTATGAAATATTTAATAACATTTATTTAAAATATTAAATTTGGATAATTTTTAGTAACATTTTATAAATAATAAAATTGTTTTAAGAATAAATTTAACCAATTTTCAATATTTTCTAATTTTAAAATAATTCAGTCACCACTGTCACTTTTTGCTTCCCATGAGTGTTTTTATTTATAATACAAACTGTTTAATATAAATTATTAAAATACGTCAAGAATATCACAAATAAATATAAAACTTATCATGGACTTGTGCTGTTTCTGCACAAAATGATATTTTAATTATTTTTTTAAATAAGGGTTTAGAGTTTAGTCACTTATGTAATATTTTACCAGATTGAAAAGCTTCATTTAAAAATAAATTTTCAATAAAAAAGTGATTTTCGAAAAAATGGACTTATGCAGTTTCTGCACAAAACGCTTCAATTATTTTCAATATAATTTTAAATTTTCATTAAAATTTCTCTAATTAATTAGGATTTTAAAAATTTTAATAAAATTCTTGACAAGAATTCAATTATTTTTATAAATATTAAAATTCTTTGCAAAAATTCAATTATTTTCATAAATAATAACATTCTTTGGAAGAATTCAATTATTTTTATAAACAGTAACATTATTCGCAGGAATTCAATTATTTTCAAAAATTGCAATAAATTATTTTGGAAACAATTCAAATATTTTTGTTAATTGTTAAATTCTTCGGAAAAATTCAATTATTTTCATAAATAATAACATTCTTCTGAAAAATTCAATTATTTTTATAAATAGTAACATTATTCGCAGGATTTTAATTTTTTTTTTTCAAACAAATTTAATAAAATTCTTCGGAAGAATTCAATTATTTTTTAAAATTGCAATAAATTATTTTGGAAACAATTTAATTATTTTTGTAAATTGTTAAATTCTTTGGAAGAATTCAATTATTTTCATAAATAATATTCTTCGGAAGAATTTAATAATTTTTATAAATAGTAAAATTCTTTACAGGAATTCAATTATTTTCCAAACAATTTAATAAAATCCTTCGGAAGAATTAAATTATTTTCTTAAATTTTAATAAATTATCTTTATAACAATTCATTTATTTTAGTAAATTGTTAAATTCTTTGAAGGAATTCAGTTATTTTCAGAGATACTAAAATTCTTCGTAGAAATTTAATTATTTGCAATGTAATTTTAAATTTTAATTAATATTTCTCTAATTAATTAGGTTTTTAAAAAATTTTAATAAAATTCTTGGCAAGAATTCAATTATTTTTATAAATATTAAAATTCTTTGCAAAAATTCAATTATTTTCATAAATAATAACATTCTTCGGAAGCATTCAATTATTTTTATAAACAGTAACATATATTTTTGTAATTGGTTTGTAATTTGTACAATATTTCGCAAGAATTGAATTGTTTTTATAAATAATATAATTTTTCTCTGGAATTTAATTATTTTCAATATAATTTAAAATTTTTAATAATATTTCTCCAACGGATTCAATTATTTTTAAAAATTCTAATAAAATTTTTCTAGAAAATTCAATTATTCTCAAAAGTTTTGATAAAATCCTTTACAAATTTGAAATTTTCTCAAATTTTTCAATTAAAATTATTAAAAAAAATCTTATTCTCAAAACTTTTAATAAAATTTCCTATTTTGCCAGAATTATTATTTTTCCTTATTTCTCATTAAATATTCAAGCTATATTATTTTTTCGAAATAATAAATAAGATTTCTTTTACCTAAAATGGGAAAAAAAGAAGAAAAATTGAATTAAAGAAAATATAGAGTCATTTCTGGAGTTGAAATTTATCTTATAGTGGAGAATATAAAATTTTCTTTTGGTAATTTGTCATTGTGGAAAGATTAAGAATATTAGTATTATACTTTATGTATATATTTTTCTCCATAAAATACTATTAAATTTATGATTATGAAAAACATGTAAGAATTTGATTCAGTAAAATGGAATGTTTTATTGTATAGAATTTTTTCTGCTTGAGTAGAATATTTAATTTAATAATTTTCCTCGATAGAGTATAAACTATTTGCCTTGGGGGATAAGTAAAGATTAATTTGCAACAAATAAAACTCTGATTATGATATAATAAAACTCTGAATCATATCAACTTTGATTTACATCGTATAAAAAAATTTGATTTATGTCAAACAGAAATTTTTTCTTTGACATAGTTATTAAATTCGGAGACGAATATATTTCTATTTAATTCAAAACATTAAAATCAATTTTTATTTAATTCAAAAATTTTTTTTTATTTAATTCAAATAAATTTTTATTTAATTTCAAATCTATTATTATCTGATTTAGAATTCACTTTTTTTTTATTAAAAATATTTATATAATTTTTAAATTTGTTTTGTTTTTAAATACCAATATATTGAAATAATAATAAAAGAACAGAAAAATAAAATAAAAGCCTTTGAATGTGAAAAAATAATAATTATTATTAAAAAGTTTTGAACGATTCCACTAGTTTAGATTTTTACCGTGTAAATAATAAAAATGATTTTTTTTTCACTGCAAGTAAATTCATTGATAAATTTTCCAAATTGACAAATATTGTAACAAAGCTAAATACCATCGACTAAATACTAGAGATCGTCAGTCAATCTCACAGTTTGGCATGTTTATTGCCCGTGTGTTAACGATGTTTCAATAAATGCCACTGCCAACCAGTTCATCTGAATCCAACGATAATTATTTCATTGTCACTCATTTTCCTAATTTTCACACATTACTGCGGTCACTCACACACAATAGCAAAAATATTTTCTTTGTTACTAATAATTTCTCAACCCTTTTTTAAAGAAAAAAAGAATTATTAATTATTTTATTTTTTTATTAAAAAATTATTATTATTATTATTGTTATTATAATTAACAGAGAATTAAAGAAGAAAAGCGTTACTAAAATTTATCATAATACGAAATTTTTCTCCGACATAATTTATAATAAAAAATATTATTACTTTCAGGTTCTTCAAGCTGAAAGAGGAATTCATGTAATTTATCGTGAGAATATTCAGTGTATGGAAACCATGCAAGGAATTCTGGTAAAAGTTGGTAGAGTACCACAAAAGAGGGTGATATTGTCGATTTGTTCAGTTCAACTTGTCTCCTTGACAAGAACCCAATGATGTCAAATAATGTAAAATACAAGTGTTCAACAAATATAAACTCAGTCAAACTAAAGGTAATATATTCTAATCTTCATTTTAAAGGATTTGATTTTAAAAAAAAATAGTCTTTCCTCTATAGATGCGCAAAAAATTATTTTCAATTATTCAAATTCATAAATTTATTAAATAGTAAATATTGAGAATTTTTTTTCCAATACGAACGTATCTACACAAAAATTATAGAATTATATCTACAGGGAAGACTATAAAATTATAATTGTAATTGTAATTGTAATTTTCAAAAGTAATAAAATTCTTATTACAAAATTCAATTAAGTTCAAAATTTACAAAAAAATCTCGACAAAATCTCAATTATTATCTTTATAAATAAAAAAATTATTCTTCAAAATTCAATTATTTACAAAAATTTTAATAAAATTCTTGTCAATATTTCAATTATTGTTTTCAAAAATTTTCCTCATTTCTATGATTTTTAATATCTACTATTTTCATAAAATTATCAAAAAGAATTCAATTATTTAAAAAAAAATTTAATAAAATTGTATTCAAACATTCAATTATTTTGTTTTGATAAAATCCTTTGTAAATTTCAATTATTTTCAAATCTTTCAATTAAAATTATTTTAAAAAAAATTATTCTCAAAACTTTGAATAATATTCCTTAGCAAAAATTCAACTATTTTTATAAATAATAAATTCTTTCTCAAGTATTCAATTTATTATTTTCAAAAAATTTTTTAAAAAAATTCTACTGAGAAATTTAGTTATTGGCAAAATTTTTAATAAAATTCTTCAAAAGGTAATAATAAATAATAAAAATTTCACAGGTTTTCAAATACCTATATATAAATTTTTTATAAGTTTCTTCTCAATAATTCAATTATTTTCAGAAATAAGAAAACTCATCCCATAATTTCAATTATTTTTAATACAATTTTAATCGAATCCCTTAAAAAATGTAAATTCTAAAAAATGTTATTAAAATTCGTCAAAAGAATTCAATTATTAAAAAATTTGTTAATAAAATTCATTATAAGAATTCAATTTTAAGAAACATTCAATTATTCAACAAATAATTTACATTTGTATTTAAATAATTGAATTCTCGTAGAATTTTCTAATAAAAAATTGATTTGAAAATAAATTTTAGTTTAAATTTTCCGAGTCTTCGACTCGGAGTGATCGATTTCTTCATTTTTTATAACAATATTTTTAAAGTTGATTAATTTCAAAAATGTTTGAATTTGAATGTTGTGAAGAATTTTAATTCCTATGAAAAAATAATAATAATTAAATTAAATATTTAAATTATTTAAAAAAGAATTTTATTTCATTTGTTCAACTATTATTGTTTTTGTACCTACATTTATGATATATTAAAAATTTTAAATTATTACAATTTTAATAATTCACTGACACAGAAATTACACGATTTGAAACTTAATTAAAAAAAATGGTTCTTTTGTTTAATTCTAGGTGGGGGATTAATTTTGTTTTGTTCCGGCCGATTTCCGAAGAAATGTCACGTCCTGCATGTCCTCGAGATTATTCCTTAATTTTCAAGTCTATTAGCTTTCAAACCATTTAACCGACTATCCACAGTCCAAAGCACAAGGCGCAGAACATCGCACATGTATTTTGCCCACACAAGTTTAAACCCTATAACACTAAATACCACACCATCTCCAACGTAATCATGGCAACTCGAGAGTTTCATAGTCCCCCAAAAGTTTATTATACCGCATAAGTAAATTTACAGCATTACTGTAATAATTAATATTGGAGCCAACGCGTTATCTCTGTACGAAAACGAAAATATTCAACACGATTTCTTATTATTTTTCTGTTTTTTTTGTTTCTGTTTCTGTTTTTTTTTTTTTTTTTTTTGACAAAAACGTTACGATTTTTGAAATCAGTAACTTCTGCATAATATTATAATTATTGGTTTGGTATGTTAATCAATTTAATAATTTGGGTAATTAAATTTACTTTTATTTGAACGAAGAATATTTTGATCTTGAGGAAACTTTTTTTAATTGAAGAGAATTGAGAGGAATTGAAAAGAGAAGAAAAAAATAGAAAACAGTTGAAAAAATTTACAAAGAATTCAAAAGAATAGAAAATAATTGTAAAGAATAGAAAAAAAATTTATTTGCTTCTAATAACCGATTATCTGACTATTATCAATTAAATTTTTACTTGAATCAAATAATTTTCTTTTGAGTCAATTAAATTGTATTTGCTTCAAATACAGAAATTATTAATTAAAATACAATTTAGTTGACTGAAATAAAAATTATTTAATTCAAGTAAATATTTATTTGATAATAGACAAGTAATCGGATATTTTAATAAAATAAATTTTTTTTCCAGTTTAGAAAAGAAAAAAAAATTTAAAAGAGCAGAAAAGAATTGAAAAGAAATTTAAAAAACTGAAAAGAATAGAAAAATTGACCAGAATTGAAAAGAGTAGAAAAGAATATAAAAAACTGAAAAGAATAGAAAATAATGAACAGAATTAAAAAAGAATAGAAAAAAATTGACATAAATAGAAAAGAATTGAAAAGAATTCTAATAAATATAAAAGAAAAGTAAATAGAATAGAAAATAATATAAAAAAATACAATTGAATAATTTTAATTTAGTTAAAAAATATCGGTTCAATAGACAATATTTGTGATAAAAATTAAAAAATAAACTAAAAGATAAAAATTGTACCTAATAATGAAATAAAACTTTTATCATTTCCAAGAAATATTTAATTTAAATCCGTAAAGTGTGCGATCAACTACTTTGAAACAAATTTAGAATTTCTTTGTGACAATGTAATTTCTTCGAATCAAAGAAAAAATACTTTCGAAACAAAAGAATTCTAATACTGATTTAAAGAAAAAAAGAAAAAACAATTAATTCTTAAAACAAAATTTTTCTTCTTCTATTCAAAAACTAATCAAAACCAAAAATTATTTCAATAAAAAAAATTTCCTTTAAATCAATTTCTTTTTTCTTCTCCAAAAAGTTTTTGTGACAATTATTATAATTTTCCATCGAGAGAAATTTTCTATTAAATTCAATTCAATACAAAAAAAAATTATTTTTCTATAAAGAAAAAATATTCGATAGTTAAAAAGAACAATAATAATAATAGTAATAATTTTTTTCTGTTTTTTTCTACTTGCAAGTTGAAAATAATAACAGTAATAATTTTTTCTTTTCTTTTTTGTAATCGAAAGGGAAAATAATAATAGTAATAATTTTTTTTCTGATTTTTGTATAGTTGAAAGTGGAAAATATTAATTTTTTTATCTTTTTTTCTACTTGAAAGCGGAAAATAATAATAGAAATAATTTTCTTTCTGTTTTTTTTTGTTAAAAGTGAGACATAATAACAAAAACATTTTTTTTTGTGCATTTTTTCAAAGTTTAAAGAGAAAAATAATAATAATAATAAAAATACTCACCGCACGCGTCCGCGTGACAAAGTTCAAAGGAGTAAGTTGAGTAAGATCAGCAAATACATAACTGTTGCGCAGAAACTTAATCTGAGGGGGATGAAATTTTCGGAAGCATTCGGTATAAATTCCGACCTCGATCCCGACGCGAATGCAACTGTGGTCCAAATCGTCGTGGATCTCCCTTTTATCGCTCCCCCGTTTTCCTCTGCCGTGTGCCCGACATTACGCCGACTCTTACTACTTGTTATTCTCAATTTATTATATTTCACTCGGCCAATTAATTTATTACATCACTAATTAAACCACATATCATTAATTATTCCAAAATTATATACATCATTTTTTTCCAATAAGAATATAAATCAAACATTTTCATCTTAACTTTCAAAATTGATTCATTTTTACCAAAATTTAATATTTATAACAATAAATTATTATTAATATTAAAATTTATTTCCACTTATATTTTTTACTATTTATTGTTATTGTTTTTCTTACCTATAATAATAATTATTGTTTTTTATTTCATTTTATTTATTGTCATTATTGTTTATTTTGTTAATAGTTAATTAGTTTTTTAAAATTATTATTATTAATATTAAATTGTGACTCAATTGTCTTTCTTCTTATTTGTATCAAAAATTTGTTCTAATTTTTTATATAAAAATTAATTTTCTAATTTAGTATAAAAGTGTATTTGAAATTTTGAATAATTAAAATACAAATACTGTTTTAATTAATTAAACAAATTTTTTGATTAAATTAATAATATTTGTTTATTAATAATCAAGTAATATTTATTAAATAATGTTTAATCGAGTAAATTTGTTTTTAGTAAAAATTCTGTTCCATTGACAATAAACAAAAGTGTATCGACATTTGTATTGTTCATTTATCTGACAATTAAAAAAATATTAAAAATAACAAGTAATAAATTTTTTTCTTTTTTGGAGTCGAAAGTGGAAATAAAAAAAACAAAAATATTAATAATAATAAAAATAAATAATAAAAAAGAAATAAAAAAAATAATAATAATTGGTAATAATATAGTTTTACTATTATTAATATTATGTAAAATAATATGGGCTTGTCCCGTATATTTATTAATTAAAATAAAAATATAAATGAAATAAGTATCAAAACTGAAATTGTCTGCTCTCTGTTTCAGAAATTTTCAAACATTCTCCATCTACAATCGAAGGATAAGAAAATTTGCCAATAATCAGAAAGATAAGGAATTACCGCCAGTCAACATTCATCGAGCAACTGATAATAAAGGGATATTTCGACTTCTATATTATCGACATCGAACAAAAAAGAGGGAGGAATTTTGAAAAACGACGAAAAGAAAAAATTATTTCCCTTCGATTTCAAAAAAATTTCCAAAAAGAAGATAAATTTCAATAAGAAAAAAAGAAGAATTGAAAAATTGATTTTCTCCGCTGATAAATGAAATTGTTTTGCTAATAGGGGAATGAACTAGAGAATGAAATATCTAGAGGGCGAGAACATAGGGGCGGCAGTTTAAGCGCAAACGCAAAATTCTAAGACAGTTTTCATACAATGCGAAAATTCAACTCCAGTTGTCCGGGAAGCTGCGAGCGCTTTCATTCAAAATAAAATACGGTTTGATTACATCTCGAAATTATGTTTGTTATTACATTAAGTTTAACAGCGATGTAAATTGTGTTTGAAAAAAAAAATTTCTTTCGAAAACAAAAAAAACAAACGTGAGATATTGTGAAAATTAATTAGAAACATTTTTAGAGAAATGGTGATTTTTTTTTGTTTGGAATTTTTTTTTTTTATAAATAAATTATAAAGAAAAATTAGGAGAAAATTGATAAATTTTTCAGAATTATACGGTCGAAATTAAAAATAATTCGAAACATGTTTAAATAACAATAGACGATAATTTTAATGGTACGCTACTTCAATTTTAATGGAATATTGTTATTAATTTAAATTGTTATCAGTTTAAAATATTGGTTTAAATTCATATTTAATTTAATTTTTCCAAAGTGCCATTTTAATTAATGGAATGTTATTATTAATTTAAATTGTTATTAGTTTAAATTCATATTTAATTTAATATTCTATCTAAATTTCTCCAAAGTGCAAAAATTTGATAAGTTTAAATTAATATTTAATTTAATATTCTATACAAAATTTCCCAAAGTGCTAAAAAGGGAGAATCTATTTTCCTTTAGTTTATTTTCATTTAAAATAATTTTTACAACAATCTAATTAAATATTCATTTTAATTAATAAATTTGTTTTTCTTTCTCTTGTATTTCCGGTAATTTTACTTTGCAATTTTACAATATGAATTTCCAATACAAAGTAAATTTTAATTGATTTAATTACTTTTAAGTACACATAGAATTTTATCAAAATTCAATTGTTACGCTGAATTTTGTTACAATAGAAATTCAATTAATTTAATGGAATTTTGTTAAATTCATTGTATCGCAAATACCAATTTATCTTTATTGAATTTTACAATTAAAGTGTTTTTTTAAATTGTTTTTTTTAAAAAGTTATCATTTCCATTTTTTTCAAAAAGAAGAAAAAAATGTCAGAATAGAATGATAAAAATTTTTTTGACCGAAAGAAAAATGAGAATAATTACTAAATATTTATTTATCTTCATAGTGTGTTTTGTAAAGAGAAATTAAAATTATAAAATCAGAGAATTAAAAATTATTTTTAAGGCAAAAATTTTCTTACAAAAGAAGGAAAATTACTAAAAAAAATTAATTTATAAATAAATTAATTATAATTAAAAATTCAAATAATAGAAAATTTTTTTGTTAAATTAAATTTCCATGTATGAAAATTGCTCTAATTCTCTCTTTTACTAAATCAGACACTAATTTCAATTAAAATTCAAGTTTCCCCGAAGAATTTCTTTTCATTAAATGAAAAATTACTGACCTACAGACAATTCCTTTTTTCACAAGGAAATAAATTAAAGAAAAGAAGAATTTTTTTCTACAAGAAAAAAATAAGAAAATATCAAAATTATTAAATTAATTAAAAAAGAGAAATTATAAATCAAATTAACAAAAGATACAATTAAAATAGAATAGAAGCAGGTTATGCAAAAATAGAAATTATTCATTTATTTATCTAATTTATTTAATTATCAATTATTTAGAATTATAATATAATTATAATATAATTATGTTATTAATTGTAAATTAAACTGTAAATTTGACTATAAATTTAACTTTAAATTTTACTGTAAATTTAAATTGTAAATTATTAATTCAATTAAAAAGAGAGAAATGGAGAAATTAAATTAATAAAAATTACAAAAAAAGAAATTAATTTTCTTTTTCTTGTAGCTAAAAATTTTGATTTCTTTTCATTTTTCACAAGAAAGTAAATTAAAGGAAAAATTTTCGTTTCTAAAAGAAAAATAACAAAACCAAAATTATTAGATTTATTAAAGACAGGAATTAAACAATTTAACAAAAATTGCACAAATAGAATAGAACGGAATAGACTATAGAGATAAAAATTCAAGAAATTATCTGTTTAATTATTAACTTGATTTAATTATTTATAATTTATTGACGATTATAATCTGATTATATTATTAATTTAATTATAAATTTTAAACTGTTAATTAAATTTTTTAATTTAATTAAAAAGCTAGGGAAATAGAAAAATCAAATTAATAAAAATTACAACAAAAAAAATTAATTTTCTATTTCTTGTAAATAAAAATTTTCTTTACATTTTTCACAAGGAAATAAATTAAAGAAAAAAAATTATTTTTCTAAAAAGCAAATAAAATTAAAATTAGTAAATTAGAAAAATAGAAAGAGAAATTAAAAATCAAATTGACAAAAATTGCAAAAATGGAAATTGTTCATTTACTTATCATCTACTTTAATACAATTCTTCTTAATTTATTTATAATCATACTTTTATTTAATTGTTTAGATATAATTTGCTTATAATTATAAATTAATTATTATTTTAATTATGAATGTGATTATAGTAATTTAATTATGAATTTAATTATGAATTGTAAATTGAAATTATAAATTGTAAATTTGAATTGTAAAACGTCGGTAAAGTTCACAACGTTTATGATCAACGACTGAGAGAAAAAAATCATTTTTCTTGACAAAAACAATAAAATGTATTGTTTAAAAAATTTTTTTTTTCAAATTACAGTCGAACCTGTTGGAATGCAATTCTATTTTAAAAATTGCTTTGCATTCAAAAATGTCAAACAAGAATTATTTTCACCTATTTCCAGACTATTGGAAAAAAATAATAATATTACAAAATTAAATTATAAAACAATTTTTTAGGATTGTTTACTGTAATAAAATTTAGAAAATCGAGTTGCATTTCGACAGTTTTCACTGTATAGATAAAAAAAAATTACAAAACAGTTTCTTATCAAAAAATAACAAAAATAGAAAAAGGTTTTTTATTATAAATCTTCGATTATAAACGTTGGGATTTTTACCAAAGTAATTCTTAATTGTAAATTATTAATTTTAATTATTAATTGAAAATTAATAATTTTAATTAAGAATTGTAAATTATTAATTTAAATCAATAACTTATAATTTTGATTCATAATTAAAAATTAAAAATAAAAAAAGAGAAATAGAAAAATCAAATTAATAAAAAATGACAGAAAAGGAAGAAATTAATTTTCTCGTCGCAAAGAAAAAAAATTTTGATTTTCTAATCTTCTCAAGTATCATTATATAATATCTCTTTATATATATATATATATGCGATTATGGATGGGATTTTAGTGGTTTTCTTGGTGGAGAGAAATCGGATCTTCGTGACCCACGATTTTGAGGCTAATGGCGCTCGATATATCCGGCAAATCCCCCGACGATCGAAAGATAAAGGACCTTCCTTACTGGAGGATGCTCGACGTTAGCCGAGATATTAATTGTGACCGATAACGCTGTAAATCGTCTTGTAACCCTTTCCCCCCTCTCAAACCCTTTTTACCAATCTCCCTCCGTGTCGTCCCCCTCAAATCCAAAAAAAAAAAAAAAAAAAAAAAAAAATCGCCCACTATTGTTAAACTCATTTGTGAAAAAAAGCGAAAGAGAAAAGAGAGACCGCCTTCGTGGTGGCTGAAAAATACGATAAAAAGGAAGAGAAAAAAAAATCTTAAGGATTTTTCAAGTTTTTTTTTCTTTTTTCTTTGCTGTTTGTGAGTGTGAGTATGTGCGTGGTGTAAAAGTCAGCGCGGATTAAGATGAATCGAATTCATTTGTAAAATGGCATCACTCCCCCGTGTGGCTCTCGTATTACTGGGAATTGCTTACCTGTTACGCGCAGATTCATCATTCGACAATGACATTACAGGTATGTGAATGGAAATTTGGGAAAAATATTTTAGAAAACAATTTATTTCCAATTTTTATTAAATTTATTAAATTAATAATGTTCTGTGTATTTCTACATTTTGCGGATTTTTTTTAACAATTTTTTTTTATTTTATTATTACTTTATTTTTTATTTTATTATTTATTATAGTAAAGGAGAATGAAACGAAAACATTATTATTTATTATTATTAAATTTATTTCATTATTGTTATTATTATTATTACTATCACAGGGCTCGAACTAGGTCCGTAAATCCCGTATAAAAGTCCGTAACTTTGCTTGAAGTCCGTAAAAGTCCGTTTTTTGAAAAAAGGTCCGTAAAGTTCGTAATTTCATCAAAAAAGGATGAAAAGTTCGTAAATTGTACGATATAATTTGGAGAATTTTAGAGAAATTACAAATGATTGAAGAAATTCAAACACTTTCAAAAGTAATAAAATTTTTCGCAGAAATTCAATTCTGTTCAAAAATTTCTTTTAAATTCTCGTCAAAATTTCAATTATCTTTAGAAATAATTAAATTCTTCTTCAAAATTCAATTATTTTCAAAAATTTTAATAAAATTTTTGGCAAAATTTCAATTATTTTCATAAAATTTTTCTCAATTCAATGATTTTCAATATCTACTATTTTCATAAAATTTTCCAAAAGAATTCAGTTATTTAAAAAAAAATTTAATAAAATTCGACATAAAATTTTAATTATTTTTAAAAAATAATAAAAACTTCACAGGAATTTCATTAGTTACAAATTTTTTTATAAATTTCTTCGCAATCATTCAATTATTTTCATAAACAATAAAATTCTTTTTAGGAATTCAATTATTTTCACAAATAATAAAATTCTTTTTAGAAATTCAATTATTTTCATAAATAATAAATTTCTTTTTAGGAATTCAATTGTTTTTATAAATAATGAAACTCATTGCAGAATTTCAATTATTTTTAATACAATTTTAATCGAATTCCTCGAAAAAGTTCTTAAAAATTCCATTAAAATTCATCAAAAGAATTCAGTTACACTGAGAAAACATTATATACTACATTTAAATAGAAAAATAATTTTAAGTGATTTTATTTAATTGAAATTAGTTTGTAAGCTTAATCCCAATATATAGAAAATATCTACTGACTTTGATTATTCAAAAATATTATTTGTTTGAATAATTATATTTCATTCAAACATATTTTCTGTTTTGATTTAAACAAAAAATATGTTTAAAAATTTTATGTTTGATTTAAACTTGAAAGTTGATTATAAATAATTTTAAAATCAACCACAACTTATGTTTGAATTAAATATATTATTTCTTTAAATGTACTAAAAAATATGTTTGAATTAAACTTAAATATGTTTGACTGTAGAGCAAAGATATTTTAACTTTGATTTGAACAAAAGAATATTTGAATCAAATAAATCGTTTTCTCAGTGTATTTAAAAATTTATAGATAAAATTCTTTATCAGAATTCAATTTTAAGAAACGTTCAATTATCCAATAAATTGTTATTTTTGTATTTAAATAATTGAATTCTAGTATAATTTTCTCAGAAACATTGATTTTAAAATGGATTTCAGTTAAAAGTTTAGATTATAATTGAAGTTTAAAAGCATTAGAGCGTAAATTTTTAGAAATAATTGAATTTTGAAAAGGTTTCAGATTAAAATCTTTGAAAATTTGAATTTTTCATATTTTTAACTAACAATTCTGCGGAATTAATTTTTTTGAGGAATTTTAATTGCGAATTTTTTTTTGAAATTTCTTTAAAATTTTTATTTTCTAATATATATTTAATTGAAGAATTTACGAATAATTGAAATTTTGTAAAATTGAATTGTAAACAAATGAATTTAAAAATTCTTAAAGAAATTTTTCGAAAATTATTTAAAAAAATAATGGATTTATAGAAGATGTTTAGTTAAAAACACGAAAAAAATTCAATTTTCCAAAAGTTACAAATTATTGCAAAAATTCCAATTATTTTCAAGAGTAATAATATTCTTCGCAAAAATTAAATATTGTTCAAAAAAAATAAAATTCTTCTTAGGGATTCAATAATTATTTTCACAAATAATAAAACTCATCGTAGAATTTCAATTATTTTTAATACAATTTTGATCGAATTTCTCGAAAAATGTAATTATTCTTAAAAGCTTTATTAAAATCAGTTGATAGAATTCAATTATTTGAAAATTTGTTGATAACGATTCTTTATGGGAATTGAATTTTAAGAAACATTCAATTATTCAATAAATTATTTATTTTTGTATTTATAAATAATTGAATTTTAATAGAATTTTCTAATAAAAATTGATTTAAAAATGAATTTCAGTTTAAATTTTAGATAATAATTGAATATTAAAAGCATTAACGTGAAATTTTAGAAGTAGTTGAATTTTGAAATTAATTTTTTTGAAAATGATTAATTGAATTTTTTAAATATTATTTTAAGTTTTTATTTTTTAATATTTATTTAGTTGAAGAATTTACGAATAATTGAAATTTCGTAAAATTTTATTGTATAATTAAATGGATTTGAAAATTGTCAAAGAATAACAATTCCAAACTGAATAAATTATTAATTTTAATTATTTTTAGAAATTATTTTCCAATTAAAGTATCTACAGTATTTTTTGGAAAATATTTACAAGAAGAAAAAATGTTTCGTTTATTTAAACATTGAAAATTTCTCAGACAATTAATTTTGTAATTAAATACCATGCACTTGCTTCAAAAACAGAATTTATTGCTTCGAATACAATTTATTTGACACTTGTAAATTAATTGTTTATTTGATTTAAATAAATTTTTTTTCAGTTTAGTAGATAACATATTAACGTAATTGTTATTAATTAATTATGAATTTAATTAGAGTAATTAAATTAAAAATAAAATAAAATTAATTAATTAAAGTATAATTAAATTTTTACCATCTAGGTAGTTCAAAAATAGGTTATTAAAGTTACTAAAATAGAAACTAAACAAGAAATTATTTAAAATATATTCTTCCATGAAAAATATAATAATGTTGTTTCAAATTCAACAAAATGTTGAGAAAAAGGAATTTTTTTATAAATTAAACTTTATTAATACCTTTTTTATTACTATGTATAAAGAATTTTCAATTAAATTTTCAATAAAAAAATTTCACCTATATACATACATATAAAAAAAGTTTTCCCGAATCATTTCAATATAAAACTTTCCAAATTATTTTCAATAACAGTTTTCAATTTAATTCGAATGAAACTTTCAAAATTAATCTATATATAGTAATAATAAAAATCTTGTTCACTGGTATATTAAAGTTTTTTTTTTCATCACTTCCTTCTTTTTTTATCATTTTAAATTGAAGAAATTGGAACTGAATAGAGAAAAAAAAATATTCTTTCATATAAAAACGTTTATGAGAAATATTGTTTTTCTATAATATATAAAGTTTAAAAGGGATTTCTTTTTAGTTGAGTGGAGCGTGAGGGGGGAAGGGAGAAAAGACTTAATTTAGTAGTTTTAGAAGAAATCTTACGCAAAAGGGATCTTTTTTATTATGTATTCACTCACGATGGAGAGGTTCATGGAAAAATATTTGATCTTCCCACCTACAAAAATTCCTTAAATAATTTATGAAGCATTCCTGAAAATATTCATCTCTCTCTCTCTCTCTCTTCCTTTCTCTCTAAAAGTATATATTCTTTTTCGATGAGAATCCTTTTTATTAAATTTTTAATCGCGTTTGTATAAACATTTTTTTCTTTTTATTGCTTTTAAATAATTTTCCATATAGGATAAAGTTTTTTTTATTATTTTTTGATTTTATAAATTTTTATTTTATTCCTGCTTTTCAATTTGCATATTAATGAAAATTCTTCATTAAAATTGTTCAAAGTTTTTTTTTTACATTTTTTGTTCTGAATTGTTTAAATATTTCTAATATAATTTCCCATACAATATAAAATTTGAACATTTTTTCATTTAACTTTATTAATTTTTATTAAAAAAATTTTTTTTATAATGTGCATATAAATTAAAAATGTTTTAAACAAAACTTCTCGAGAGAAATTTTTTTTCTGAATTGTTTAAATATTTCTAATAATTTCCATACAATATAGAATTTTTACTATATTTTTTACTTCTTTTTTTTATTTTTTATTTCTCTTTAGAATTGATTAAATATTTTTATTTTTGTTAAAATTTTAAACTAATTTTTAGCTTCTTTTTTTTATTTTTTCCATATAAATTTTTTTTTAATTTGCATAATAAATATAGAATTTAAAATAAATTTTAATTAAAACTTGAGAGATTTTTTTTATTTTTTTCCGAAATTGATTAAATATTTTTATTTTTGTTAAAATTTTAAACTAATTTTTAGCTTCTTTTTTTTATTTTTTCCATATAAATTTTTTTTTAATTTGCATAATAAATATAGAATTTAAAATAAATTTTAATTAAAACTTGAGAGATTTTTTTTATTTTTTTCCGAAATTGATTAAATATTTTTATTTTTGTTAACATTTTAAACTGATGTTTAACTATATTTTTTACTTCTTTTTTATTTTTCCATATAATTTTTTTTTAATTTGCATTAATTTAAAAAAATTGTAATTAAAACTTTAGATTTTTTTGTTCCTTTCCAGATTTGATTATAAATATTTATTTTTGTTTAAAATACTGTTTTATTGCTATTATGTTTGTGTGTTATTAATATTTGTTTTTGAAAAAAAAATTATGGAATTATTATTGGTGTGTATTTATATAAATAAATAAATTAATTAATTAAGTTATTTATTAATTAACTATGTAATTAATAATATAAAAATAATAATCTCATTCAATAATTATCGAGAGAGTATTTCATTTACCTGTAACTTTGTGTGGATATTCAGTAGTATAAACTGATTTTAGTCAGACACTATATCTTCGAGGCAAATTAAATTATTATATTTTATTCTTTTGTATTTATTATTTCTCTATTTCTTTTCTTCGAATTATAATTATAGTTTCTTAATTTCATAAGTTAATTTCTTCGAATTAAATAATTCACTATTAATTAACGCAAAAAATATTAATGCAAAAAAAATACAAAAATATTTTTATTTCAATTTTCTTTACATTCGGAATACAAAAAAAAAATACATTAGAAATTGGAATTTTTTAAAAAATTTAATTTATTATTGTTATTATTATTATATTAATATTATTTTCTATTTTTTATTATTACTTCTATTATTATAATAATTAGATCGTTAGTTTCGTTAATTAATTTCTTCGAATTATAATTAATTTACTTCTCATTATTACAAAAGTATTAATGCAAAAATATAAAAATTATTACTGTTATTATAATAATTAGTTCGTTAATTTTGTTAGATAATTTTTTCGAATTAATGAATTTAGGTACTTCTCATATTAATACAAAAATATTGCAAAAAATAATAATGCAAAAGAATGCAAAAATAACTTATTTACTTTGAGATTTTTATAAAAAAAATAAATTTATAGAAAAAATAAATTCCTTATTTTTAAATTCTCAATAAAAAAATACAAAATTGAAAAAACAATTAAAAAAATAAAATTACTCTTTGGTCTTTTTCTTTTTATTAGAGTCGTGTATTAAATTTTTCAATGAAATTATTTTTATTTAATGACTCGCAGGGTATTTTTTTAGTACCTATGTATAGGTATATATATATATATATATATATATATATATATTTATATATTTTAATAGGATTAATTTACATAATTATTTAAAACAGATTTTCTCATTTCCTGTGCATGTGAATAATTTTAAATATAAATTTTACATTATAAATTGAAACGAATATTATGAACATAAGAAAAGCTGATTCCAGCTGGTCTAAGCATACCTGACGATTATGATGAAAGTAAAGAGGAGAATGCCGAGGGAGACGATGAAAAATTTACTTCAATCGCGAAAAATCTCGTTCAAGAGGTGACAGCAATTGTGGGTCAACTTACAACTCTTTTATGTAATTTCGAAGATCCAGGAAATCGAACTGTAAGCACAAAAGAGAATTAAAAATTATATATTAATTTTAGTAAATAAAAAATTATTATTTTATTTTAGTAAATGAAAAATTATTATTTTATTTTTATATTTGAACAAAAAATATTTTTATTTTATCACAAAAAATTATAATTTATAACAAAAATATTTATATTGAGATATTTTTTTACAAAAAAGAAATGACAATTACAAAAAAAATAGTTATTTTAAAAATATTTGTTACAAAAGAAGAATTACGATTACAAAAAATATTTGTATTTAAATATTGACAAAAAAAAAAAGAATTACAATTAGAAAAAATGTTGGTATAATAAATATTTTTTCATCTTTTAGTTTTTTCTATTATTTCTTGTCACTTTTTTTAATTGAAAATTTTATGTTTTCTTAATTAACAAATATCAATTATGAAAGGTATAAAATTACAATGTGTGAAACGCATTAGTTTAATAATAATTTAATAAGATAAATGTACAATTGTTGACAATTAGACTAAATTCATTAATAGTCAATATATAATGCTAATTGATTTAATTAGAACTTAATTAATTGAACTTTGTATCGAAAATTCATGATAATGACTAAATCAACAAATAAGTTTGAAACGTACTATTTCGTTTGGAAATTAAATGAGAGTAGTGAAATTAAAATTTTACTTTCAATTAAAATTAAAATTTACAATTTACAATATATAAAAATAATAATAATCCAAATAAAAAATTGAAATTAAAAAAAAATTCTATTAAAAATATAAATTCTAATTAAAATGCAAAATTCGAATTAAAATATGAAAATTCGAATAAAAAATTCGAATTGAATTCAATTCAAAATGAAATAAAAATATTAAATAAAATTAGCAATTTAAATTGAAAATTGAGAAATTTTAATTTAAAATTCGAATTGAATTCAATTCTGATTGAAATAAAAATAGTAATTAATATAAAAATTGCATCTAAAATTAAAAATTGAGAAATGGTAATCTAATATTAAAATTGTCAATTGAAATTATAAATTAAAATTGTTAATCAAGTAAAAATTTCTTATTAAATTTCAATTTTGAATTTGAAAAATTAAAATGAAATTGAATAAAAAATTAAAATTGTGAATTGAAATTAGAAATTAGAATTGAATAAATTAAAAATGTAAATCAAAGCAGAAATTTTTTATTAAAATTCGATTTTTGAATTTGAGAAATTAAAGTGAAATTGAATTAGTATTGAAATTAAAATTGAAAATAGAGATTAAAAATTGAAATTAATTTTTTTTTCAAATCAGGTGTCTTGGATTAGAAAAAAAGATTTGCAAATTTTGACGTCAATGTACATTACATACACTAGTGATGTGAGATTTAAAATCATTACAAATATAAGTTATACGCCAGCGCAGGAAAATTCCAGTATCTGGAATCTTCAAATAGAAAATGTTCAGCCGAGGGATGAGGGTATTTATGAATGCCAACTTAGCACGGAGCCCAAAATACACAAAGCTATTTATCTTAAAATTTTAGGTAAGAAATATTCAAAGAAAATTTTTTTTAATAATAAAAAAATTTAATAACAAAAAAAAATTAATAATAAAAAAATATTTTTTAGTAATAAAATTAATAATAATCATAATAATGACAATAATAATATTAATAACAATAATAATAATAATCATCACTAGGGCTTATTAGCCCTAGGAACCTGTATTTCATGAAATAAATAAATATAAATTAATCGAATATGAAATAAATAATTAAAAAATTAATTACCTAATTAATTAAATAATTAAATTTTTTTCACTTTTTTTTTTACTTCAGAAAAGCTTTATTATTATATTTCTTTCTAAAGCGTGTTTTACGATCAAAGTAAAAAGAAAGAAAAGTAATTATAAAAATTTATAAAGAATAAGAAGAAAAAATAGAAAGTAAAAATTGTAAGAAAATGAAAAATGTAATTAAAATCTATAAATCTATAAAATTGAATAAAATGAAACATAAAATTAAAACAAAAATAAAAAATAGAGAAAAAAATAAAAAAAGATCAAAATAAATATTAAAAAGTAGAGAAAAAATAATAAAGCAATAAAAAACAAAGAAACAAGACAAAAATAAAAAAAAAATTAATAAAAATAAACATAAAAAAGTGAAGGGAAAATAATAAAACAATAAAAAAAAAGAAAAATAAATAAATAAAAAGCATAAATAACAATTAATGACAACAGAAAAAAAGAAAAAATAGACAATAATAAAAAGAAATTTATAAAAATAAACACAAAAAAGTAGAGAAAAAATAAAACAATAGAAAAACAAATAAAAAAGAGTAAAAAATAAATAAATATAAAGTAGATAACAATTGAAACAGAAAAAGAATAAACAAATAGACAAAAAAAAAATATTAAAAATTCTGACAAAAGTAAATTTTTTAAAATTTTTAATTTAATTAATTAGGTAGTGAAATTAAAAGAAAAAAAGTAAATTAAATAGAATTAGAGGTAAAATGAAAATTTAATGACCAATGAACTTGTGAAACAAAATTTTAAATATAAAATAATTTTTCTAGACGTTCAAGCAAAAATTTTGGGTCCAGAGGAAGTTTATGTGAAAAAAGGCAGCACAATCAGTCTCACTTGCATTGTTAATGCACAAGACATTGCACCAAGTAACGTTACGTGGTGGCATGCTGGATTTATTATAGACTTCGACAGTCCCAGGTGAGAGCAATTTAGAAAAAAAAAATTATTTCAATTAATTAACATTAATTTTAATTATTTAAAATTATTTTTTACAATTAAATTTATTTATCAAATTTTATTATTAGATAAAATTTATTTAATAATTTAAATTTAATTATTGAAGCCTCGGCCTATTGATACAAAAGTGCGGTTTAAAAATTTTAATTATTTATTTAATATTCAGTCAATAATTCAAATTCCTTAGTTAATTTATTTTTCAATTAATTCGAACTTTTTCGATTTAATTTTAATTTTAATTTTTTTTTGTTCGTTTTACAAAACTTTTCCTCCTTTTTATCATTTTTCATTCCGCAAAATAATAATGAAATATAAGAACAAGAAGAATAAGAAGAGTACAGGAGAGAAAAAAAGGAAAAAATTATAAATTTTGTTGTTATATACATTTTTTGAAAAGATGCAATTGTATTCAAATATTTATACTTAGTTTTGGATTCTGTACTCTTCTCTTATTCTCTCCTCCTCTGTGTGGGATTTGTTTCCCAACAAAGTTTCGAAATGTGAAGTGTAGTTGAAAGTTCTGATTGGCAGTGAAATGAAAGAAAAAAAAATATACAACAAAACAAAAAAAAAAAAAAAAAAACATTTCCAGAACATGTACTCGAACTATAGATATATATCTATATCTATACAACTATACTTAAAAACTCAATTCATCAGCCTTCTTGAAAACTTTTACGTCACAGAAGTATTGTTTCAAGAATATAATTATTTATAATGAAAATAGAATTTTCAATTGTTAAATTTTCAAACGCCAACAAACTCAATTGCCATTGAATTTTTTTTATTATTTCTTTATATTCAATCAACAATTATAAACTGCATAAAATTTTTACCAAACTCTTATCAAACATGATGATAATAATAATACATTTGAATTTATTATTATATATTTAATGAATAACAATAAATAATAACGAAAGGGCTAATTACAAAATTTTTTATTTTTAAATATAAATTTTTGAATAATTTCATAACTAAAATTTTAAAAATTCACTTATTAAGTACATAATTAATTATCATTGTTTATATTTTCAAAAATTTTAATAAAGTTATTATTATATTTTCTTTTATTCCCATTATTTTCTAAAATTTTAATAAATCCTTTGAAACAATTCAATTATATTTTTAAATTAGTAAAATCTTTGCAAAAATTCAATTATTTTCAATAAAATTTCACGAAAGAATTCAATTTTTATCTTAATTCGTTATAAAATTTTTCAAAACAATTCAATTATTTTTTAAAATTTTAATAAAATTTCATGAAAGAATTGAATTTTTTAAAAAAATTTTAAAAATATTTTTCGAAAAAATACAATTATTTTCTAAAATTCTAATAAATTCTTCGAAACAATTATTCAATTAATTGTATAATTCTTCGCAGGAATTCAATTATTTTCATAAATTATAAAATCTTAGAAAAAATTTAATTATTCTCAAATTTTTTGATAAATTTCTCTTCCAGAATTCAATTATTTTTGTAAATTGTAAAATACTTCGCAAAAATTTAATTAGTTTCAAAAATTTTAATAAAATTCTTCGCAAAAATTAAATTATTTTTTATAAGTAATAAAATTCTTAGAAGAAATTCAATTATTCTCAAATTTCTTGATAAAATTCTTTGCAAGAATTTAATTATTCTCAAATTTTTTGATAACATTTTTTGCAAGAATTCAATAATTTTTGTAAATTGTAAAATACTTTGCAAGAATTTAATTATTTTCAAATAATTTTAATTAAATTCTTCTCAAGAATTCAACTATTTTTATAAATAATAATATTATTAGAAGGAATTTAATCATTTTCAATACATTAATTTTAATAGGTATTGAAAATATTTACAAAGAAAAAGTATTAAAAAAGTAAGTCAATAAAAAGCCAACAACAATATTATTAGATATTATAAATAAATTTTACAAGTAGATTCATTTCAGTTTTAATTTGTTGTTATTGTTTCGATTATTTTTCTCTTTTTTTTATTTAATTTTAATTTTCAATATTAATTTGTTATTATTATTTTATTTTTTTCTTTTTTCCTTTTTTGCGGATTTATTTATTGAATCTCAATTGTAATTTGCAATTTCCAATTACATAAAATTTACTAAGTAGATTAGTGTATTTGAAATAATTATATAAGTAATTAATTATACTAATTAAATTATTTGTAATTGGAAATTACAAATTATAATTGAGATTCAATAAATAAATCCAAAATTGCAAAAAAAAAAAATAATAAGGAGAAAAAATAATCAAAATAATAATATAACAAATTAACTATTAATTATTAACTATAATAATTTGAATGTTCTTTCATTCATTCATTCACTTTTTCTGTCCCTCACACCCTGAAGTTGTCTTTTGTTTATACTTTTGTTTTTTGTTAACTTTAGATAGATTGTATATTATATTATTATGTTAAAATTATTTTTATTTTATAATTAATTCAAAATTGTAATGACAAATAGAAATCATCAGAACCTTTTTCACTTCTTTTCATCAAAAGACTAAATTTTTGTTAAATATTATATTTTGTCAAATTGAAATTATACAGATTTTTGTTCTTTACTTCTAAACAAAATTAGCAAATTGTTAAACAACTGTGATTAAGAAATAGAAAATTTTTTTATTTTGCATTATTTTTGTTTATGAATCACAATTTTTTTAACAAAATTATTTTTTTATTTTAGAAAAAGAAGAAAAATATTTGCACAGTTTCTATTTTTAATCTTATTTCTGGAACTGGATTTTCTCCACAGGAATTAAGACTAGAATTTTAAATTATTTTTTATGAAAATAATAATTGAATCCTACCTTTAAAAAAATTTTATTATCTATGAAAATAATTAAATGTTTGCATACAATTTTATTAAAATATTGTTTAAATAATTGAATTCTATTTGGGAAATTTTATAAAAATAGTAGAAATTGAAAATAATTGAAATTAGAAAATTTTTTGAAAATAATTGAAATTAGGACAAGAATTTTTTTTTTGACATTAATGAAAATAATTGAACTTTGGACAAGAATTTTGTAATTTATAAAGATAATTGGGATTTTTACGAGAATTTTTTTCAAATTTTGAACATAGTAGAATTTTATAAGAAGAATTTTATCTCTTTTTAAAAATAATTGATTTCCTGCAATTGTTTGTAATTTCTTCAAAATTGAATTTTTTTTAGTGTTTTCAATAAAAATTTAAATTAGAAACTTTTTAAATTCTATTATTTTTAAAATTGCTAATTTTATTTTAAAAAAGGCAGCAAGAAGTTAGAACTGTTGCTAGTTAATATTGAAAAATAAAAAATAAATATATCGGAAATTGTAAAAAATTAATAATGAGAAAAAATAGTGAAAATAATAATAATAAATTAATATTGAAAAATAAAAAATAAATCTAAAATTGCTAAGAAGTAATAAAGAGAAAAAATAGTGAAAATAATAATAAAAATTTAGTATTGAAAAATATAAAATAGATAAAAAATAAATGAGAAAAGAGAAAAATAAATTAATAAACCAATTTAAAAATGAGAAAAATAATCAAAACAATAACAACAAATTAATACTGAAATAAATCTACTTGTAAAATTTATTTTTCAAATTCAATTAATAAATTTATTTATCTCTCTCTCTCTCTCTCTCGTAATTCGCACACTTTTCGATAATTACCTATTGATCCAATTAATTTCTCTACAGCAATTAAAAGAATTTGCAAAAAAAAAAAAAAATCTCTTTCTTTTTTTTTGGCAACAGAGGGGGAGTATCGTTAGAGACAGAGAAGGCCAAAGGTGGAACGACAAGCAAGTTGCTGATAACGCGTGCTTCTCTCAATGACAGCGGTAATTATACTTGTGTCTCAAGTAAAGCAGCACCTGCAAGTGTCATTGTACACGTATTAAACGGTAAGGATTTTCAAAGACTTGCAAACTATATATAGAGATGTGTATGTGTGTGTGTGTGTGTGTGTGTTTTGAAACTTCAAAGAGAAGTTGTTCATTATAGAAAGAAAATCACATAATTTATAATTTGAATACAATCTTATGGTAAAATTAAATGAAAAAAAGATTTCCATTAAAAACTAAAGCTTTAATTAAATATTTTATTCCACAACTAATCATTGCGCATCTCTTTACTTTTCCTTCGACTTTTCTCTGTGAATATATATATATATATATATATATATATATATATATATATATAGAGCGAGAGAGAAGGTCTTTGTGAAGAAGAGCCTTTTTCTTTTGAGAATCTTTCAATTTGGTGCTAGCAGCTCTCTTCCAGTTTCAAAAGCATCAAATTGAAGCGCTCATCATTCAAGAACTTTCGACTTTTATATATATGCATACAAATATATATATGCATATATAAAAAAAATATAAATATACAAAAAAATATATATATATATACCATAATTTAAAATTTTATTTAATCTTTCAAAAAAAAAACTCATCAATTACTAACAAATTGAAAATTCAAAAAATTCACTTATTAAGTATATATATGAGGCATTTTACGTGAAATGTCCTAAGTTGAAATTTCAACTTCTTGAAAAAAATTGAAACTCGAGGAATTTGTTGTTCTATCAAGTAGAAATGTGACCCAAAAAATATTTTTGATTTTTTCGAAAAATTGGAGGGGGTAGAGGGGGGTCAATTTGACCAATTTTGCCAACATCGGCTACTTTGTGAATTTTTTCTGAACATACTTGTAATGGGAAAAATTTTTTAGAATATGTTTCTGAAAGGTTTTTTCGTCCTCTTTCCAATGGTTTATTTTATTTTTTAATATTTTAAAAATTTACCCTAATTTTTGATAATTAATATTTAATTTTCAATTTTCCAAAAATCGGTCCGTTTTTTTTGAAAATAAATTATTGCAAACGAAAGCTGAGGTTTTTTCCTATCGGCATGTAAATTTGTAGAATGCCCTTTTTTTGTTTTTGAGTTATTGAATTTCAAAGAATAAATTGCGGCGCGCAGCGTCCCGGGCGCCTCGTCTCACGCCGGTTGCCATGGGTTGCCACGCGGCTCAGTGCAACCGCGACGCAGCGCGCCGCAATTTATTCTTTGAAATTCAATAACTCAAAAACAAAAAAAAAGGGCATTCTGAAAATTTACATGCCGATAGGAAAAAACCTCAGCTTTCGTTTGCAATAATTTATTTAAAAAGAAAAACGGACCGATTTTTGGGAAATTGAAAATTAAATATAAATTATCAAAAATTAGGGTAAATTTTTAAAATATTAAAACTTAAAATACACCATTGGAAAGAGGACGAAAAAACCTTTCAGAAACATATTCTAAAAAATTTTTCCCATTACAAGTATGTTCAGAAAAAATTCACAAAGTAGCCGATGTTGGCAAAATTGGTCAAATTGACCCCCCTCTACCCCCTCCAATTTTTCGAAAAAATCAAAAATATTTTTTGGGTCACATTTCTACTTGATAGAACAACAAATTCCTCGAGTTTCAATTTTTTTCAAGAAGTTGAAATTTCAACTTAGGACATTTCACGTAAAATGCCTCATATGTACTTAATAAGTGAATTTTTTTAATTAATTATAGTTTGATATTTTCACAAATAACGAAATTCTTCGCAAGAATTCAATTTATTTTCGTAAATAATAACATTCTTTAAAACAATTCAATTATTTTTTATAAATAGTACAAATTAATTACTTTAAAAATATAATTTTAATTAAATTCTACGAAAAGAAATAAAATTATTTCCTACAATATTATAATAAATTCCTCGAAACAATTAAATTATTTTAATAAATAGTATAAAATTCTTAGCAGGAATTCAATTATTTTTAAACAATTTTAATAAAATTCTTCGGAAGAATTTAATTACTTTCTAAAATTTTAATAAATTTTTTCTTGGAAACAATTCAATTATTATTTTTGTAAATTGTAAAATTCTTCATAACAATTCAATTATTTTCGTAAATAATAACATTCTTCGAAACAACTCAATTATTTTTAAAAATAGTAAAATTCTTCTGAAGAATTCAATTATTTTCTTCTAAAATTTTAATAAATTATCTTGGGAACAATTCAATTATTTTTTGTAAATTGTAAGAAACTTTGCAAAAATTCAATTATGTTTTTAAATAGTAAAATTCTTGTTAGGAATTCAATTATTTTCATTATAATATTTGAAATTTTCAATCAAATTTCTTTAACGGGTTCAATATTTTTTTTCAAAATTGTAACAAAATTTTTCACAAACATTCAATTATTTATTCTCAAAAGTTTTGATAAAATTCCTTGTAAATTTCAATAATTTTCAAAATTTTCAAAAAAACAACATTATTCTCAGGAAATTAAAAAAAAATTCTTCAACAAAATGTAATTATTTACTAAAACTGTAATAAAATTATTTAAAAGAATTTAATATTTTATCAATATTTTTAATAAAATATAAATAATATAAATATTAATTACAATTATAAATAATCTCGAGTAAGTATTTAAAAAAAACTGGAAGAAATTCTTCATTAAATTCAACTATACTTTCAAAATTTTCCAAAAAATTATTAAAAAAACAATTTTTTTCAAAAATTTTAATCGTTTTACGAAAGAATTTAATTATTCTCGTAAATAATAACATTCTTTGTGGAAGAATTTAGTTTGTTTTTATAATTATTCTTAATTTTTTCTAAAATTTTTTAAAAATTTTTATAAATTCTTCACAGGAATTCAATTATTTTAAAAACAATTTTAATAAAATTCTTCGGGAGAATTCAAATATTTTCTAATGCAATAAATTAAAAATAAATTACATAAATATAAATAAAAAAAATCTGGAAAAATAGTCAAGGAAACATTTAATTGTTGCAATTATTTCTGCAAAATAAAACTGGATAAAAACTGAAATTAAAAATAGAATAATATAGGTATAAATTGAGTTCATTAATTTGACGATAAATTTTCAAAATTGTTCAAAAATAAAATAAACAATAATTTTTAATTCAACTATAAAATCAATTTTTTTTCAAAGTATGATTAAAATTTACTGCACAAAGAAAAATTAAAAATATTCCAAAATAAAAAAATGTGAAAAATAAAATTTGAAATTAGTTAAAATTTGTTTCATAAAGTAAATTAAATTCTCTTTCATATACTAAATCAAAATATTTTCTCTCATTTTTTTTTCACATCAAATTTAAATTTGCAAAGCAATTTAACATTTTCATTTTCAAAGTATAAATTTTTTAATTAATTGAGGCCTTGGATCCAATAACTCGCCCGACGCTCGGAGGAACGCGCAACTCCCAGTCAGTGAGCAGTGAGCGCCTCTGGGCCACTCACTGCTACCCGACTGGCATTAGCGCGAGTCTCCGAGCGTCGGGCGAGTTATTGGATCCAAGGCCTCAATTAATAAAAAATATTTTCCCTCATTTTTTTTCAAAGCAATATAAAATCTTATTTTTCAAAGAATAAATTTCTAAATTAATTAATAAGAAATATTTTCTCTCATTTTTTTTCAAAACAAATTTAAATATTTTTTTCCAAAAGTAATTTAAAAATTTTTTTTTTAAGTATAAATTAAATGAATAGAAAATTTTTATACAAAATAGAAAATACACGTATATATGTCTAAATTTTAAATTCAGAAAAAAAGTTAATTTAAATTTAACGGCAAATTTAAATTTGATTTCTTAAGATAAATTTGAATTTTATCGTGTGAAAAGAATTTTAATTTGATCAATATTTTCTCGCTTTTGCCTTTAGGTGAACATCCAGCGGCAATGCAGCACGGGGGAGGAAATAAGCTCATCTTAAGGACATTTTCGATCAGCTTCACTCTCATTCTGACTACTCTAGTAAGATAAACGATCTCTTATACATATATATAAAAAAAAATAAACCCCCCCTTTTACAAAACGTGAAGTTATAAATTTCGATCACCATCATCAAAAAAAAAAAAAAAAAAACTGAATGTGAGTGTAAAATTGTATAGTGTATTATATAATTGACTATAATATTAATTAATTAACTATAAAATACTAATTATAATTAAATATTAATTGTAAGATCAATTTTCATGTACCATTTCAAATTAAAAAAGTGGAGAGACTGAAAAAAAAATAATGAAAAATCATTCATATCCATTATTAAAAGAAGAAGAAGAAGTTTTCTATTTTAATTGTTGACTAAAGTATTTATAATAAAAAATCAAAAATATGTCAATATTAGAAAAGAGTTAAAATCTCCATTTTTCATTTTTGAAATTTCGAAAATATATATATTTTATATTAAATATCATTGTGTTAGGATAATTTTTAATTAGAAACATATGTATAAGTTTAGAAATATTTTTGTAAAAAATTGAGAAAATTTTTGGTTACTCTTTTATATTCTTTTTCTTCATTTTTTATTTGCATACGATGTGTATTTAGAAGAAATTTTGTCATTATTCTCTGATTGATAAGATTCGCACAGAGAGAAAATAAGAATAATAAAAAGAAACAAGAAAAAAAAAACAAAAGTGTAGTTGAAATTATTTTTTCTTCCATTATAAACATTTTAGAGAACTTTTTTCTATTATTATTAGGTTAATTATTCTTAGAAATATTATAGAACATATATTTTTACAAATATTTTTATTTGTTCATTTGAACGTTCGACATTTTTTTGCAAAATAAATAAAAAATAAATTTGAAAACTATTTTTATACTTGAATAATGTTATTTTTCAACAGAACTACTTCATTTACTTTTTCTGTCCCTCACACTCTGATGTTGACTTTTGTTTATACTTTTGTTTTTTGTTAACTTTAGATAAAACCATTATTTTTTTAAAAACATAGTTAAATCTTTACAAAACTTCAATGATTTTCAAAACAATTTTAATTAAATTCCTCGAAAGAATTCAATTTTTAAAAAAAAATTTAACACATTTCGAAAAAATTCAATTTTTTTCTAAAATTTTAATAAATCCTTCGAAAAAATTCAATTATTTTTAAAAAAATTTAAAATTCTTCGCAAGAATTTAATTAATTTTATAGAAAGTAAAATTCTTTGCAAGAATTCAATTATTTTTAAAACAATTTTAATTGAATTTCTCGAAAGAATTCAAATATTTTTAAATATTTCCATAAATTTCAATTATATCCTAAAATTTTAATAAATTCTTCGAAGAAATTCAACAATTTTTGTAAATACTAAAATTCTTTGCAGGAATTAAATAATTTTTAATTCAATTTAAATAAAATTACACGAAAGAATTTAATTATTTTCAAAAATTTCCATAAAATTGAATTTCAACATGAATTAAAAATTTTCTAAAAATAATTCAATTATTCTCAAAATATTTTTAAAAAATTCTATATAAAAATTATATTACTTTCAATGCAATTATTAAATATATTCTTCAAAAAAAATGATAGAATTCAATTATTTTTAAAAAATAAAAAAATTCTTGTGATGAATTCAATTATTTTGAATATATTTAATTTTAATAAAATTCTTTAAAGAAATTCATCTATTTTCAAAACAACTTTAATAATTTAACTTCTCGAGAAAATTTAATTATTTTTAAATATTTCTATAAAATTCTTCATAAAAATTTAATTATTTCTTAAAGTTTTAATAAATTCTTGGAAACATTTCAATTCTATTTTATAAATAGTAAAATCCTTTGCAGAAATTCAAATTTTTTCCAAAGAATTTTAATAGAATTCCTCGAAAGAATTTAAATGTTCAAATATTAACATAAAATTTATTTATTTTCTAAAATTTTAATAAATTTTTCGCAACAATTCAATTATTTTTATAAATAGTAAAATTCTTCGCAAGAATTCAATTATTTTTAATACAATTTTAATAAAATTCTTTTTCATAAAATTCAATTGCTTTCAAAATTTTCAATTAAAATCATTAAAGAAACTTCATTAGTTAAAAAAAAATTCAAAGAAATTTTTCAAAAGAATTTAATTAGGATTTTTAAAAATTTTAATAAAATTCTTCGCGAGAATTCAGTTATTTTCCTAAATAATAAAATTATTTGAAGGAATTCTATTATTATCAATTTTTTTTAAATAAAATTCTTTGCAACAATTCGATGATTTTCAATATATTAATTTAAAAATTGAAAATATTTGAAAAGAAAAATTATAAAAAAGTTAAGAAACAAAAAAGCAAACAACTAACTTTAAATTTCAAACAGATTAACGAAACATGTACTTTATTATTATTAATGTTATAATTATTTTTATTTTATAATTAATTCAAAGTTGTAATGACAAATAGAAATCATCAGAATTTTTTTCACTTCTTTTCATTAAAAGACTAAAATTTTGTTAAATATTATGTTTTGTCAAATTGAAATTATACAGATTTTTGTTCTTTACTTCTAAACAAAATTAGCAAATTGTTAATCAACTGTGATTAAGATTAAGCTTAACAATTTTGTTATTTATAAAGATAATTGGAATTTTTTCAAATTTTGAACATAGTTGAATTTCATTTATTTTTTTTTTTTTGAAAGTAATTGAATTTCTGCAAATATTTGTAATGTCTCCAAAATTGAATTTTTTTAGTGTTTCTAACAAAAATTTAAATTAGAAAATTTTTAAATTCTATTATTTTCAAAATTGCTAATTTTATTTTAAAAAGGCAGCAAGATGTTAGTCGCGCGCTTTATAGCTCGCGAATTGTTGATAGTTTGAAAAGAAAAGAAGACAAAATTGAATAAAGAAAAAAAATCAATGTTGTAAATTGATTCTGTCGATTTTGATGCATTTCAAAAAAAAGAATTATTATTAAACCCGAGGAGAAAAAAATACCCTCTCGATTGAATACGGAAATTTTTTTCTCACTTTTTTTTCGAAAAAGTTGATACCTCGTTGAATGCGGAAAATTTTTTTTCCCCTTTTTTTCAAAATATACGTTTTTGAAATTAAAAACTGTCGATTAGTGTCTGTGTGAAGATGCAAAAAGAAACTCACGCTTCTGTTGTAAAACTGGATGGAGGGAAAAAAAGTACGTCGTTAACAGATAGAGAGAGAGAGGTAGATATCCATCGTCTCTCGTAAACGCGGAGAATGTTCTGTTCAAGCAAAACGATTATATTGCCTACTTTCGCAGAACTGTGTGAGAATGCATGTCGATCTTCACTATCTGTTTTTCCCCTTCTCCATTTTACATTAACGTTATTTAAGAGAAAATAAAAAATAAAATCAAAAAGTTCTTATTCTCAAAAACTACAAATAGAGTAAGAAAGCGGAATAAGAGGAAGACGCTTATTGCATCAGTAAATGAGAATTGCGCTTTATACTTTAAAGAAACATTTTCTTTGTAAATTATTATTCATACAATAATAACTTAATTTATTCTTGCAAAGAAATTTGTTGCATTTTCAATTTTTATAAATCGTTGAATTGTATTGAAGAATTTTATTATTTTTGAAAATAATTCAATTTTATAGCAAAGAATTCAACTAAATTAAATATTTGAAAATAAATTGAATTATTTTAAAGAGTTTTATTACAATTTTTGAAAAATAATTGAAATTTTGCAAATAATTTTATTAAAATTATTTTGAAAATAATTGAATTCCTGTGAAGAATTTTACTATTTATACAAATATTTGAATTGTTTCGCTGAATTATTTTATCAAAATTTTAGAAAGAAATTGAATTCTTCCGAAGAATTTTATTATTTATGCAAATAATTGAATTTTTGTAAAGAATTTTAATATTTATAGAAATAATTGTATTCCTTCAAAGAATTTTATTATTCTTTTTATTATTTATTAATAATAAAAATTAAATAGAATGCATTTTATTATTTATGAAAATAATTAAATTGTTTCGAAGAATTTTATTAAAATTGTTTTAAAAAATTAATGCATTTCGGAAATTAATATTATTATTTATAAAGTTAATTGAAATTTTGACGAGAATTTTTAAAAAATTTTTATCATAATTGAATTTTTGCGATAAATTTTACTTTTTCTAAAAATTGAATGGTTTCGAAGAATTTTATTATTTATGTAAATAATTGAATTTTAGAAAAGAATTTTATTAAAATTATTTTGAAAATAATTGAATTTCGGAGAATAAAAATTTTATTATTTATAAAGTTAATTGAAATTTTCACAAGAATTTTTAAAAATTTTTGATAATAATTGAAATTTTGCAAAGAATTTTATTAAAATTATTTTGAAAGTAATCGAATTTCTGTGAAGAATTTTACTATTTATAAAAATATTTGAATCGTTTCGCAGAATTTTATCAAAATTTTAGAAAATAATTGAATTCTTGCGAAGAATTTTATTATTTATGAAAATAATTGTATTCTTTCAAAGAATTTTATTATTTATGAAAATAATTGAATTATTCGAAGAATTTTATTAAAATTGTTTTGAAAATTATTAAATTTCAGAGATTAATTTTATTATTTATAAATAGTTAATTGAAATTTTGACAAGAATTTTTAAAAATTGTTCATCATATGTAATTAAATTTTTGCGACGAATTTTATTACTTTTAAAAATAATTGAATTTTAGCAATCATTTGTCACAAATCCAAAATTACATTTTTTTTTTATTTTTAACTATAATTTTTCTATAAATTCATTATTTTAAATAATTAATGAAACACATATTAAAAAATTTGATTAATTTCAGAAGAATTTGAATTTTTAAAATTTTTCAAAAATCTAAGTTTTTTAAAATAATTTCTAATTAAATTCATTGAAAACTGAAATTTTCTAAAATTGCAAATTGAAACCTTTTGAAATTCATCAATTTATGAAAATTGTAAACGCAAATCTTATAAAATTCAATTGCTATTGAAATTTTCAAGTAAAATTATTCATTAAATTTTGTAAGTAATAATTTTATGATAATATTAATAATCTTTAACGTCCTTTGATATTAAATAATTGAAATAAAAACGACCACAAAAGGACAATAACAGTCAAGAGGTGGGTTCATTCAAAACACCATGTTTGACGTT